GACTTAATTCTAACCTTTTTGTTCTCCATTGAGTTAGAACTGGGCCTATACTTTCAAATAAAGTTAGGAGATCGTAAGTTCATCAGCCAATCTTTGACGGCCTTTCAAGCAAAATCCACCAATCATAGATAAGAAAATAGATCGTAAGTACTTACGTTCACTTAGCGAGTTTTGAAAGTATGGCCCCTGGTAAGCATGTTCTCATCGTGTAGCCGCCCATCTGTACTATATAAATGCTAGCGCTTTCCATCGCAATTTACTACAAATCTCAATAGTTTTCGTATGCCTTCCAATTTCGCATATTCTCCATCAGCAGCTACATATTTAATATCCTTTATATTTTATTTATCTTTCAGTTCCTTCATTTACAGTAACCTGCATGGCGTCGCTGCGACGCAATGCCTCCTGCAACTTCTCACTACGCACCAAACCCATTCGAATTGCAATTAAAAAGCGCCATCCAGAGCGAGCCGTTTTCCAATTGAATTATGAGGGACTGGGCGAGCTGGTAACGCTTCATTGCTTCGTAATTTTCTAGCTAAATATGATGCGCAGCAACTACGGATGAACTTGCTTCAACAACGGCGAAATTTTGATGGATATCTCGCCGCTAGACCATCAGTAGCGGTAGAAAAATGGAGGAATGAATTAGCTGGCTCTCTTGGAAAAGGTAAATAAAGCCCAGGTGTGATTCAGATGTTTGATTTGATTTTCGAGAAGAGGGTAATGAGCTATATAGTGGAACTCTATCAATGATTCTTTATGGAGATCTATGGTAGAAAAGAAACCCAAAATATTGCAATTGATGTACTTCGATGGGGGCTCACAACTGATAAAACTATAAACAGTATCATGATGTTGTTTCAGACTCCAAGGAGCAATAGTCAACGCAATTATTTCAAAATAATATTCAATAATATTAATAATATTATTGAATATTATTGTTGTATATTAAATAATATTGAATATTATAATATTATTGAATAATAACCAGGCCTTGGTGTGGGTTGAAGGTTTTTAGTTGCTCGCTATTTTTCCTGGTAAAAATTTTTTTAGAAAATGCACACCTTTAAAATGATCGCGCTATTGTCATCTCAAAATATATTTTTCACCTTTTCCGCAAAATGAATTTCTTTTTTACGCATCTTTGGTGCTATTAATGCCTATTATATAATAATGCCGGCAATTTTTGCGATAGGCTGACAACAGATAGAGTTATTCCATGTAATGAATGTCCTGAATATAGATTATGTTTGACTTTTACAGATACATGGTATTATTCTCTGGTGTAAGAAGTAAAAGTTAAAATTACAGTGAGCATTATGTCCAAGTAATGTTTGAGTTTACCCAATAAATTATAATCAAAGAAAACTTAAGAATAGTGTTATTGAGCGGGTACTACGATAATTTCAAAGTATCGTCGCAATAATCATGAGTCAATCGCGACATTGCTTTTTACACTTCGCGGGCAGCCGGCTACGGCGCCTGTAACGAAGCAAATTGCTTGACTTGTCATCTATTTTCAACGTACTATAATCATTCTCATGTTTCGAAGTCTTTTACACGATAAAGAAATATATGGTATACGTATGATATTTGGATTTTTTTTTCTCAACTATGTTCAATTGCTACCATGAGAAATTAAGATATTGACGGAAAATGTTGCATCTAAAATCTTACGGATATCACTTGTTAATTGCAGCTAATTTCATGCAATTTGTACTTTTTACGCCTCTTTGCACCACATGTACGTCGTTACATAAGGGTATCTTTACACACAATCACTTCGCCCATTGCCGTCCATCCCATCGCGCCGAGTGTAATAGAGCGAAAAATTGGCAGTAAAGTTTCAGTGTCTTTCATGTCCTTAAAAAATGAAACTAAAAACTATTGAAAAATTTCTTATACGCGAAACTTTTAAATGGAATATTCAATTACGAAAGAGAATATTCAAAAACTCATATTTCCTTGAAGTTCAATAACTTATAGGTCCTGATTCAAATGCCGTGTGGAGCGAAATTGTGAGGATTCCGTAGATGAGCGTTCTCATCATGTCGTTCCTTATACTCTTTGCCTGGCGGCGACAGGCTCAATTTCTGTCATCCTATATTTCGTGACAAAAGATATGGAATATGATTCGGATCGAGTTTATTTTTAAAATACTTTGCATCGTTAAGTTTATTTCTCTATGACTGTACGTACATTAAATCATACTTCTTTCCTTTATCTACTCAATTTTACCAATGATTGTGCTGGGTTTTTGTTATGCATAGTTGTGAAGGATTTCCAAGGTTATTCCTTACGAATGTCAGAACCTATTATCGGAATAAAAAAACATACTTTATCATCGCATACTTGTAAATTGTTGTAACTTATGTTTGACGTTACATAAACGGTCTCTATGCCACCACAGTCCACCTTTTTAATTTCTTCCTGTCAATTTATTCCTTGCTAGGTAGAACCAGATTTCTCTCTTCATAGGAGCATTAGTCAAGGCTTATATTTTTGGCTTAACATAGCACTTACCTGCATAGGTAATGTTAGGCTTATGGTGGGGCAGGAGATCTGGTCACGATAATTTCCTGTTCCCACCTGTTGATCCTTTCCTACCTCCCATGTCAGTGCGACGGGCAGTATTATCATTCCTATTTTAATAATATTATTTAATAAACAAATTTTTAAATCAATTTTTACTCATAAATAGATTTCAAGTTTCAAACTAAGTTTCTACACTATAAACTTTATCACTCACAGTTCATAACATCGAGTAACAAATGTGCTGTTCATGTTTTAAGTTCACACACCGAACTTTTTATTCTACATTACGTTGTATAGTTCACATATCCTACTTGATATCGCTAATATTACACAGTTCGCATTAAAAAGAATGTTATTAATTCTATTTGATCAAATTGATCTCATTCCTGTCCAAAGATTACAGACTCAATTAAAATATCCGTAGATCACTCGCGTTAAAAAAAATTTGTCGTCGTTTAAGTATATTTTTCATCCAGAATAATATAATGCTATGTAATCTATTTATTTACATTCGTTTAAGTAATGACGGCTTGCATTTGAATTGAGCTTTCTTGTACTCTGATTAGTTTTATCAGTGTTTTGCGTTAGCCAGAGTTATGCAGGTTGTCTCGTAGGGACTCGCGCTACATTAATTCTTCAACACTGCTTGCCACCAATAGTAGAAGCTGCTCATTGAAGTACGACCTTTCAGACGGAGCTACATTTTTAGCGCATTTTCTCATTTATGGAAAAATTGTGCTCTGTGCTCTATTGTGCTCGTCTTTTCCGTCCGTCCGTGACTTCACGTTTCGTCGATTTCGTCAAAACGCGAAAATGCGCTCTCGGTCACTCACTGCAGTGAGTACTGATCTAATTTGTTAAACTATTTGTGGCTAATTCTGCTGCAAATTGAATATTAGGTGTGCTGGTATTTTCTTAGATGAATTGGAAATTAAAACTGAGGAAGCTTACTGAGTTCTACTGTACAGTTTTGACCTGTGTACCAATTTTTTTCGATCTTTACTTTGAAAATGATTAATGAAATGAACTCTAGATAGATTTGGCATTAGAAATTACAGTATTCAATATAAATAATTAATTTTTAGATAAATAATAAATATTAATCAATAATTAATGTTTAATAACCTTGCAATAACTTCCAAAGCAAATACTCCTGAAAAAATTTTCAATCACAAAACGGGGAAAAAATCTGAAATTAAATTTCAGAAACCATTTTCTTTGCGTTCATTTGCTGATGATATGCATGCCTTTCATTACTTCCAAGGAAGTAGAAAGACTTATTTTATTTTTTCGCCCCAAGCGATCGTTCCGTAATCAAGCAATAGGCCGGGAAATCCGGTGAAAGTGAGACTTAAGCCAGCAGGTGAGAACAGCTTTATGTACTTAGTACCTGTGATCGATGTGGTCAGTATGTCTGCAATTATTAAATGTCATTCAAAGCTGCACTTGAATCAATAAATAATTGGATTATTCGATGCAAAATTAACCACAAGAATTAGTATATTTCCCCGTCATTTAAGACGATACCATGCATTGTCTCAACTTTAAATTGATTTATTCGAAACATGGTAACCAATGCCAAAAAAATCTCTAGCTATGATCACTCAAAATCTGGACCATGAATCTACTGCATAATCGTCTTATTTAAAATTTTCAACTCGTATTGATTAATGAGCAACAAATAATCGGTATATATACAGAGAAAATCTGTATATATACAAAGATGTCATGAATTTAGGCATCGTTCAACGATTTTTCGCTGTAAATTTTTGCGTTAAATTTTGTTTGCCATAAAGCGGATCTGCCCAACGTATCCTACATACGAAAAGCGCCACAGCATCCTGGAACAATCGCTCGTCGGAAATGCAGCAACACGGAAAGTTTTTGCAGACATTCTACCATGTTGAAGCAATTTCGCCTTCAAACCCTTCAGTTATTAAATTCATTGCGACAACGTAGTTCCATGTAGACTTTTTTTTACCGGATTTTACATTGTTGTGAAAAAACACACTGAATAGTAAATTCAACTAGCAATCAATTATGGTTCTCTAAAATCTAAATTGCCCTGGCTGAAGAATCTTCGAAAATTTGACTGAAGTTTATTTCTTGAAGCATCTTCTAGAGAGCTGCCATGCTTGCTATTATGGCTGCAAATATTATATATATGCACGCATGCAGCCGTGAACAAAGGCTCTTCTGACATCAGACCATTTAATAGAGTTCAAGTAAACAGAACGCACCAACTGTCATTATGAAATGCTATGTATTTCTTGAAGGTCAAAACGGAGACCATATATAAACAAAACACGTACCATTAAAACAATAACTGGAGTTATACCATATTGAGGCTGCCTGGATGTCAGTGTTTGCCGAGTTGAATGCAGCCAGCCTGGTAGGAAACGCTGGCCGCATACTGAGTGGTGACTCGCATGAAGGTGAACGGCGATGAGTTGTTAAGTACAGGCGGTTGCCTGGAGTGCGCGAGTCGAGGTCTGGAGCTTGCTTGGTAAGGTGCGCGACGCTCTCGTTACATTTCCTTATTTACGCACAGAACTTTCAAATTATAGCGTTGCAAGTTATTTCATAAGGAACCCGTTTGTTGTCTTAGTACGACAGCAATCATGGCGTCTGAAAAAGGAGATTTACCTCAAGACAATGAATCTCTGCCACCGAACTATGCTTCTTCCGAGGTTTACTCTGATTCTCCCCCGCCAGTGAGTATTACATTATTTTTTAGCATAATCATCTGATTAATACGGGACTTTCAAGTCTTGCAATAGCTTTTATTTAAGTATTTATTTAGTAATTAGTGTTATTTGAATCTACTGAGACATACTTAAAACGATCGTATCTTGTATTTAATCTGTTCTGAACAAAAAATAAATTGTTAAATTTTATGCTGTTGAATTCAGGATATTTACAAAAAAATATTAAGTTCGAGATTTGACAATCTCATTATGATTGACTGACTAGCGGTAAGTATTTAGTATTCGGTCACACGAACCATACAAATAATCACTGCAGGACTGGATTAGAATTGCTATGCGATTGAAGTTATTTTATTTTATTTATTATTTTTTTTATTGATGTTTCGGTGCATTTTTCTTACATACGGCTTTTATTCACGATAAAACTTGGGAAAGCAGGGATGATGAAGTGACCAAATTGTTCAATTTTGTATGATAATCTTTGTTATTGTTTAACTTTACCCAATTCGATTCATGCGATACTTTTGGAACGAATACAGAATAAACGACAAATTTCTGTTCATTGCAAAATTCATTTGGGAAGTTATTCACGCACCTTATAATATTTTATATATTTTGAATAATTTCCTGTCTACCTTTTGACTGCCAAGAATCTGCACGTAGAAGCTAACAAAAATAATGAAAGAGCAACATGAATCGCACAACAACCACACCTTTCTAAAATTCCGTGTCACACGCTCCGTAAAAGTCATCGAGTATAAAAATAAGTTACCGCTTTCTAAGACTATCACTTTTTTTCGAAAGCAACATGACCATTTTCCCTATTTATTAGCTTTTTAAAAAATACTGCCGCGTCTGGAGTTTCGACCGCGGAAATGTGATGGCGACAAAAGGAAAGTTCTGTACCGGGAATCCGATCTCCACATTTACAATATTTTCTGCTGAAATCCCAATGAGCGACAAAATAATCACACTTTTTCACAATTTCAGAAAAAATATTTCCGTCCTTATCTCTCGATAATCTATAAAGAGTTTGCCATTACACATTATAAAGCAGGACTAAACTTTTATTCGCGTCAAGGAAAACAAATACCGCGGCTTTGATGGAAATTGTTAGATCAAAGAGATAGGGCACGGCTTAGCAAATAAATAATAAAAAGCTTTCAACTCGTGAACTTTAATATGTAAGCATTAATTGCTAATGATGAAGGCTATGTTCTCTTTCAAATTGAAGCATTAAAATTTATTGTGAATCGTTTTATCATCCCAATATGAAGGAATGTGATTAAGTTGTAAAATCATTGATGTCATTAGTTGGATATTAAATAATATAACCATAGCCAATAAAGTAATTATAGATAGTAAAGAAAAAACATTGTTGAACTCTTAAACCTGCGAGCAATATAGGAATAACCACAAATTTAATTACACTTTCCGAATTACACTCTAAATTTTATCCTTTACTCTAGTTGAAATAAATAAGGGCGAGTGGAACGAACATTATTCAATTATTGTCTCATACGAAGACCAGAAACGAAACTTTGTTGGCTGACTCGATTTTCTCTCGAGAAGCTGCTGTAGAGCTCACAACTGACTGTGTTGGCTGGCTCGACTGGCTGTCGAGAAGCTGCTGTAGAGCTCACAACTGACTGTGTTGGCTGGCTCGACTGGCTGGCGGTGAAAGTGAATTGTTTGGGAAGCTCTACTGACTGCCTGGCGCTCTTTTTGTGGCCATTCTAATGTTAGAATGTCGACGTGCTGATATTTTTACTTCCTACGCGTTCTCTAGAAGGAATTTCTACATTTGCTTGCAATTAAAATTCTCTAATTGTTCACTTCACTTAGTTTATTAGTTATATTTGGTTCTAAATTTTTTAATCAGCCCCACTTTATACACATAGCATATATACTATATACATCCAGTTTCGGCTATTCTCGAGAAACAACTCAAATGCTATTCAATTGTTATTTTATTCTAACAACGTGCTATTCAAATTGTTATAATTATATTTGACTAATTCAACTATCTTTTACAAGTATACTGACGTTCCACATGCTAGAGATTCATCCATCGGTGATGTTATGAGGTTTCTATTGTTCGATTGCAACCAGCACCACCTGACGATCTCTCGCATTAGAATGTTCTAATCTAAAGCTTGATTGTGAAGGATGTTTAGACTTGCGTCGCTTAGTCTCAGTTGCTTGGTCAAGCCGCTGTTTTGGGAACATCTTTTGTCGAGTCATCAGCGTTCCGAGAAAGTGGAAGAGCTTCTTGCGGGTGAACGGGTCCTCCTTTCAAAACTGCTCTCGGAATCCCAATATTCAATCTTGGCACGCTTGAGTAGAGACACGTTAGAACAGTATCACTTTGATAGCATTATTTATATCTATTTATTGGACGAAGGAGAAAGTGAAGGTTCCATTTGCATATTTAACACGACTCTTTAGCTATAATTTTTACTATATTCGATCAACAGAATGATTTCCACTCAAGCGAACGATTTTCCATGAAAGTAATTTCTATGATGTCGGTAAAATGTTGAAGTCCTAGTGTTCTCTCAACTTTTCACCATGCCCATATATTATACGTCTGCGAATTCCTCCACTTTAAACCCTCAAAAGAATGAGATCCGTATTATTTAAATGCTTATTATTTTATTTTAAGGTCCAGGAGCAAATTTTTAATGCTGATCCACTGCAATATGAAAAGTAAACTCACTAAATTTAGTGGACAACATTCTTAATAAGATAACTGATCAATGACGTGCGCTAAAAATCGAGTCAAGAGTGTGTAACTGTTTGCGTGTATGCTTCTATAAAATATCAATGTACGACTTTTCCATTCATACACAAAATGTGGAAACTATAATCACTCGAGAGAAACTTAAATTTCCGCAAAAAAAACTAATTTTATTTGAAGCTTATAGCAAAGGCTGGAAGCGTGGTGCGTACACGGCAGAACGTTTCCGTCGTGTAAGCGTGACGTGGAGCGCCCGTGACGAGCAGAAATCTTGCTCGTGGGCTGAGTGAAAGGCGAAACTCGGCGCCAGCTTTTCGCCCGCTCGTATTTTCCGCTTCAAGCACTGCCATGCAACCGCTGCTTCTGAAAGCAGCTACTTACATCATGAGTAAATTATTCACGTGCATAATCGCTGATCATAAACATCTTCTAGAGGGCATTGAAACGAGTTTATTTAGCATGCATCCATCTCGTTAATTATGATTGATCACCGGTTTGTTTAGTGCCCAGTTTTGACTAAGACACTGCAGTGAGAATTAACTTTGAGAACAAGTTTCAAAATAAACCTAAAATCTAAAACCATGTTGAGTTGACTTAACAGTCAGTTTAATCATCTAAACTTAAAATTTCTTAGTCGTGCAGATAGGTCATACCCTACTTTCAATTACTAACTTGATGAATTATTGCAGTACGGCAACTTGTTGAACGTCATCGAGTTATGGCAAAAACTCCATGATATCAAAAATAATAAACAGCCACACAGATAAAAAATAATGGAGACAGCGTCGCTTAATGCCCTTCACTGAGTCAGTATTTGCAGAAAAAAAGTGCTTGCCGCACTTTCTGATTTCCGATCAATGAACGACTTATATGTCAATTCTTTTTTGTTACCTATTTCTTTTGCAAGAGAATTGCAATATTCGAATATTATGAACATTATCATTTCATAAATGCACTGGCAACTTCATGACTTTGATCGAGCTGCGCATACACATGCAGACTTGCGTTGTGATAAATGTGCTCATTTACAAGTAATTTCCGGTTCACTTTTTAGAGTATTATAATTTCTGATTATTTTGTAATCATAAAGCCATTTCTTCGAATGGCAACATAACATGTACATGGCATATTTATATGTTACATTTAAATAATTGAAACTGGCATGGGAGAGTTTTTCTTTCTGCTGAAACAGGTTTTACATGTGATGGTGTATTCATGTGCTTAAGTTGAAAAATAAATAAAATTCAACTGAGACCTCCATATGGATTACACATGAGAGAGAACCAAACTTCAGTTAAAACATGATTGGCAACTTTGGTAACGTGGAATTCATGCAACGATGTATACGATGTACATGACCATACATGGTGACTGCATAGTGCGATCTCTGCAGAGACCAAAACTAACCTGATCACTTTTATGTTTGCATACAATTTACTAACAAAAATTATGAGAAAAAGTTCCATTTATAATTTAATTCAGCTAGTTCCATATATTTACTTTAGAATTCTCAGAAAGAAGTAGCATATCTAAAGTAAATTTAGCGAATTTCACTCGATAGCAAATCGGAGAAAAAGATAAAATATTTTAAAGTAAACTGTATACGCTAACCTTCCGATCTTTAATATCCTGTTTTCATTTGTAGAAAGTTTGTCCCGTTAGATCGTTAACTTATTTCCATAACGATTGCTAGAGTCAGAGATCTTCGTCATGGAGCATTACGTCAACATATGTCTTATCTCGGTGTACAGTCACAGTAACAACTCACTTCGTCTACCTGGTGCAATAATTATGTCCACGCTACGTACTGTAACTACCAGAATAACGAGTGTTGTCATGCAGAATGAATACTTAGCCACTTTCACATTGCGGCCAACAGTCTCAAGGCAAGCAAACGGCGAACACTCTTAAGAAACTGTGTTATAGTGGAATAAGATCCTAAACAATAACAGGATATTAGTCATTATTGTTCGAACTACTAATTATTCGAAGCATTCTAACTAATGGCTAATGCTCTTAATTATTTGACAAGCCTGGTGCAAGGACTCAATTTTAAATTTCACAAAATTTTCCACCATTGACACAAAGTAGAAGCTGTATTATGACATGTTATCACTCAATAATCTAGCAAAAGATAACACAAAATTTTCACACAATATCCCAATATCCCTCCGTTTGTGGAGATTTTGTTTGAAAGTTCTTGCAAGTGTATCTTCTGTCTATTTGATATGGCCAAAGGGAAAATTTGGACTATTTGCTATGGCTA